GTAAAGTTGAGAAGACGTTGAAATATTGACAAGTTTTTTTTTTTCAGTCTTTTTTTTTAGTTGGAAATAGGTCTTTTTATTTACAAGAATGTTTGCCGCAGTTCTTCGTTTCCTTTTTCGTTGTATGTACGATCGAACATTTGCATAAAAGATGAATGTTTCGGTAGAAATGAATGACAAGACTTGCTTGTGGTTAAATTTCAAGTAGATTTTATTTTAAGAGGATTTCAATCTTAGCCGAGATTTCGCGATTTGACTTGAAAGACTTGTGGCATGATCGTGAGGTCTGTTTAGTTTATCTGTTGCTCGATCCCCTGTGTTATATAAAGTTACAAAGTCGAGTCAGATTTGCTCAGATGTTATCCCTTTGTTGATTTTGGTCGAATAGGGGAAGGGAGAAAGACGAGTATAATTACATACAATTCCTTGAATGCAAGCACTTTTTGAGCAGCTTCAACGTTTGCATGTCTTTTTGCAGATCGTCTTGTCAATGCTGCTGCATGATAATGGATTTCTAATTAATATTGTTCATAATTACGCAATAATGATTAAGGGTAGCGAATATGCGCTTCTTGAGTGTCAGAGCTGGGCAAATTTGGTTTCGTACAACCATCTAGAGGTGACAGATAGATTCAAAGAAAGAGAAAAGAGAAACGCCTGGGAATGACGAATAAGTTTTATTCGAAGACAAATCCCGCATTTTCTCACACGCGTATAAATCTGTAGAGAGAGAGAGAGAGAGAGAGAGCTTTTCGGAAACAAACGCGTCGCTCGCACGAAAGCTTATTCGTTATTCACGGCGGATATTGGTTTTATTCGTAAATTCCAAGAGAATACATTCGGATAATGCCCGAGTAAGCATCGCACACTTCTAATCGGACATGTTATTTGCAGGATGGTAGACGTCGGTGGCCAGAGGTCGGAAAGAAGAAAGTGGATCCATTGTTTTGAGAACGTTACTTCCATTATATTTCTAGTAGCTCTAAGTGAATATGATCAAATTCTATTCGAGTCGGAGAACGAGGTAATTATGACAAATCCGCGCTGTCGAAAAAGATACTGCCGAATTTTGGCGCGTGTAACTAATGCCCGCCCCCGCACCTTTCTCTTTCTCTCTCTCTCTCTCTCTTTTCCAGAATCGAATGGAGGAAAGTAAAGCACTCTTCAAAACGATTATAACATATCCATGGTTTCAACATTCTTCGGTTATTCTGTTCCTCAACAAGAAAGATCTGCTGGAAGAGAAGATCATGTATTCTCATCTCGTCGACTACTTTCCAGAATACGATGGTAAGTAACGACGACCTGGACGACCTGGACGAGAGTCCTGCGCCCGCTAAACGTATAACGTTTACCGTGTAAACGAACGAGTTGTGTGCCGGTAGGCCCGAAGCAACAGGACGTACCGGCTCGGGAGTTCATCTTGAAGGTGTACCTCAGTTCGAATCCCGACCCCGACCGAATGTGCTATTCTCACTTTACGTGCGCGACAGGTCGGTCCACTGATCGAAGTGATCGAAGCAGCAGCGGCAGCTGCTGCAGAGCAGCGTAGATCACCCCGCTAGTAATGTTGTAACTTGGACAACACGCATTGTCCCGAGAAAAAGTGTCGATGTTTGACAGGTGGGACAATTTCCTGAAAAGCCGCGTTATCAAAGTCCGAGACGACTCCTCATTTTGCCGAAATGTCGGTAATAATGCCTCCTCGGGATTCTCTCTCGGATTTCGATGTTGCGGCTTCTCGCGGGGAATTGCCCGGTCTCCGAATTTCGAGACTGCTTTCCCGGGATAATTGCTCACCGTAATTTGCCGAACGCGATTTGCCGATATCGAGTTGTGTAAACGGCAGATTTTCTCCCGGGAGATTTCCCAGAGAGAAAATCTGAAATTACTCATTACGCAACCCGACACGTGCGTGTCCTCTCGCTTGATCCCGCGCATAATCACGGTAATCAGTAGCCCATGCCGATACCTCGGAGGTAGTTGACCCCCGTAGCAGCCGAGATCACCCTCTCGTCGAAGCCTGCCGTCCGCAAATCCGCTCGTCCCGCTGTTAATTACCGCGAACGTTCGGCAAGAGTTGCGAATCGCGTCGCGATGGTGATCTGATGAAATGTCGGGCCGGGCGAAGATTCGGGAGAGCAAGCTGGAGATATCGCTCGGGCGAACCGCGCGAGCAGCGTTCACGCGCGGACGGGCGACGATTTCAGATTTGCAGAATCGCGCACGGCACCCTTGCGTAAGTCTTCGAGCTTATTAATGAGAGGCTTCCGAGAGGCTTCTTTGATGTTCTCACAGCGACTAATTCAATAAGCTGTCCTTGCAGAGCGTTTATTGGATTTGAAGTACTGAAGTACAACATTATTCCATTAAAATAGATCGATACCGGCCTCGTGTCCGTCCCCGCGTTATCCTTTTTCGCGCACGCAAGTCCGTCGCTTCGCGCGGAGTCGTTTGTACGGTCGCGTAAAACACGTCGACCCCGGGACCAGGCGGCAGGGAAAGACAGAGAGACCGACCGACCGACGGACAGACAGACAAACGGACGAATGGACGGGGAGAAAGATTCCTTCGCGAAAACACACGCTGGCTAAATTCCAGCGCGCGCGTCCCGTATTCCACACCTGGCAGATTCTCAACGACGCGCGCCATTAATTGTCGATCGTTTGTGCGCGGTCGTCGCTTGGTAGATGAAAGAAAGCGAAAGCAAGGAAAGGCAAAGACAAAAGTAACGCCATGCCCCACCCTCGCTTGTGTATTCCGCAGGTCTACAGAGAGACGCCTTAGCAGCTAGAGAATTCATCCTCAAGATGTTCGTTGAACTGAATCCGGACAGCGATAAGATTATTTATTCCCACTTTACGTGCGCCACAGGTAGGCTAACGCAATGGCCGCCGGCTCTTCTTCCGGTAGCGCTTGTAAAGATACCGTATTTCTGTCGCTCGTTTCTTTTTTTCCCCACGATGGTTTTCCCTCGTTTTCCTGCGTCGCGCGTCTTGTGTACAGAGCTTGTATTATATTACCTGCCTGCCTGCCTGCCTGCCTGCCTCTTCTCTCCGTACCGACCAGGTGTGTAATCGAACGTTGAGCGCGAAATCGAAAGATCAACCCGAGTGCGCGCGAATTTGCTTCGCGAGTTTGCGCGTTTGCGCAAACGTCCCCTTCTGTCTTGCGGTCGCGGCGAACGTGTTGATCTTCCGACGTCGCGGAGAGCGACATTAACCCACATCAACCATGTCCGATTTGTATTTTTGCATGCTGCGCCTGCGGAATTAACCACCAGACACGGAGAACATCAAGCTCGTGTTCTGCGCCGTTAAGGATACGATCATGCAAACCGCGCTGAAGGAGTTCAATCTCGCTTAAGGGCGCGGCTCGCGTTGGCTGGAACGCTTCCCGAATCTCAGCGCGTAGATTTCCGCGTCGCGACCGCCGCGCCGTCTCGGTCGGACACGTCGAGAATTACACAAGACTCGAGCCACGCACGTTCGTAGCGTGCTGGGGAAGAAGAAAGATCGAGAGAGAAGCGAGTCTCAAGGTTGCGCGGCTCTCTCGCTGCACAAACTTGCTAGTCTCGGAGTGAGATCGCGAGATCGCGAGACGAATCGAGCACATGGCACGTAGACGTTCGGACCATCGATTGTCAACGATGTGCTGCATACTGTTTGCTAAATTTCAGCTTGGCCCACGTGTGAGATGCTTGGGTCTTTGTTCAGACCGGGCTTGGAGTCTCGAGTTCCTCAGTCGAGTCGACATTAGTCGTGTGATTTGACTGGAGAGCACAATTCCAGTGCCAAACGCGTCTCACTCGAGGCGAGTTTCAGCTAACGACCATTTACCCGAGCGAACTGGAGGGCAAATATAATCAGCCTCATTGAGCGGAATTGTAAACTTTCCGCGAGCAAGAGTTTTAAAGGAATACAAGAATTGTCAGAGAAGAAGGAATCAGGGCGACTAGAGTTGGCCGTATGCAACCGTGAGACTGAGTTGGTTTAGGCGATTCGCGTCGCATCGAGCAGTTATATAAGTCGTTGCTCTCCTCTCTCGCAACCCCTGCCTCCCCCTTGTCCCTCCCTAAAGTTAACTTGCTCGTGGCTCGAGTCTGCGTGTGATCCTCGGCGTCACCCTCCGAAAAACGCAACTACTGCCAGTCTTGCCAGTGACGGCGAAAAGTGTGATGACATTATCTTAAGTAAATTGAATACACACACCTTCACGTTCATGTACATGAAACGGGGGACCCCTTGTAAGGGAAATAAAAGAGATACTGCAAAACCGGCATTTTCGTTGCAACGAACGGCCCCACCGGGAGGCGCGACGCGCTCCGATTGTCGCGAAATCACGTCGCTCTCGGCAAACAACCGGTCTTTCCGGCGTCTTCATTACGCGCGTGCTGCTGCCGTCGCAGCCGCCGGAGTAGCGAGAACAGCGTAGTCGAATTTCTCTGTGACACCGAAGAAGCGTGCCTTCTCGTGTTTGCATAGCTAATTGCACGGCTCGGTCGCTTCGTGTTTTCGCGGCAAGTAGAGAACGGTAGAATCACGGTGAATCGCGTGTCGCCTGGCGGCGGCATGCGGCTTATTCCGACGCGTATCAAGCTGCAATTAATCTTCGCGGCGGTTCGTCGAGCTTTTCTCACAAGACCTGGGAGGAGCGAGGAGCTGAAAAAAGGATTTGATTACGTTTATACGACGGCTGTACGCGCGCGCGCGCGCTCTCTCTCTCTCTTTCTTTCTTTTTCTCTCTCTCTCTCTCTCTCTCTCTCTCTCTCTCTCTCTCTCTTTCGTGTCGCCGAAGCATCTCCGGGGGAAAATGCATGCTGCATGTGTGTCATGGCTGTTGAGCTTCTCGATTTAGGATGCAATAGGTCTGGCGGGAGAGACATTCGCCCTCTTCTGTTACTCAAGAGATAGCCCGCTCGTTTCTCCCTGCATGACCGAAGCTTCGTTTCCAGATTTGCGACTCAAAGGTAAAGTCCTTCTTCTCGGGCGCGTTACATCCGTGCGAACGTTTTGTGCTCTTGTTATCTCTCTGTTACTTGTGCCTGCGTACCGATAATGATTTGCAATGGAGAAATAACTCTCTGACATGATGCGCGGCGTCACGTCGTCTCTCCTGCGTTCCTCTAACACATTTCTCTCTGTCCCGCAGATACGGAGAACATCAGATTCGTGTTTGCGGCGGTGAAGGACACCATACTGCAATCGAATTTGAAGGAGTACAATCTCGTTTAGGCGGCGAGAGACGCGCGCGAATCCGAGCGGAATCGACCAGTTTTTCTCTCGCACCATGACCAATGTATCAGTGTGGGACTATATTAAAACTACGTTGACTCGCGAAGCGCGAGCTGAGCTGAACGACGTGTGGCAGAGACAGAGGGACGCGAGATGGACGATTACTAAATTTTGTGGTGCCATCGTACACACACACACACACACACACACACACACACACACACACACGTATATAAATACAGCAAAGAGAAACACACACTCACATACATACACATTGCACACGTACACACGGAGCGTGCGTCGCGCCGCGTCGAGCTTCGTCGCAGACAGAGCGAGTGTACCAACAGCAATTAGACGCGTAAGACATTAGACACACACGTAGAACAGAGAGGATGGACAAGGCAAGCGGAGGAGCGACGTGAGAGAACGCGAGCAAGGACCTAAAAAGTCTACGAGCGTCGTCGCGTGTTCTTTTCTAAGGTGAAGAAAGGCATCGAGAAAAGAATGGAGAGAATGGGAGAGAGAGAGAGAGAGAGAAAGAGAGAATGCTAAGGAGAGGAGAATCGGGAAGGGAAGAAGCGCGCGAGTCGATTCTCAGTTGTAACTTGTACACCGTATTCCCGTTCCCGGGAATTTGTTACCTTTCTTTTGTAGATTAGTTCTTAGTCGATATCGCGCGAATGCTACCCGGTCTCTCGCGAGGGGAGAAGAAAGAAGGGGCGAGAGAGGCGCATGTATCGATAAAGCCGGGGACCGGGCGTGTCGTTGCGTTCGACTTTTATATATATATACATATGTATGTATGTGTGTGTATGTATGTATGTATGTATGTATGTATGTATGTATGTATGTATGTATGTATGTATGTATGTATGTATGTATGAATGGACGAGCGCAGCGAAGACGTCGACCAAGAGCGCGTGTCGTCCTCGCGCAAACCGGCGTGACATGCACGACGCGGCTGTGCCGCGCGTTTTAAAAATGGCGCGTCCGTCTTGTGTTCGTCTCTCGAGTCTAAGAGATCTCAGCGTGTGCGGAAGAAGTACTAGAGACGAGACGGCGAGGCGAGCGAAACGAGAAAAGAGAAAAAACAGGCTTTTTAATCGCTAATTAGATTCGGTGACACAGGTGAGAACAATTCTAGTGCCATTTACTAGTGTGGTGTTGATTTTTTGTTTTTTTTTCCTTTTCCTTTCTATCTTTTTTTTCTTTTTCTTTCTCCTTTCTTCGTTTCTTCGTCTTCCCCCCTCCTCTCTCTCTCTCTCTCTCTCTCTTTCTCTTTCTCTTGTCATTCCTTTTCTTCCCTTCTTTTCTTTTTTATTTCTAATACCTGCATTAAATTATCAATTGTCTTTTCCTTTTAGAGTTACGCGAAAGCCAAAGTGTTTTTGTTTCTTCCCTTTTATCTGTGCCAGAAACGACTCAAAGTTCTTTCTGCATGTGACTCGGATTCATTAAAAAATCATCGTATAAATATTGTTATATATAATATATGAAAGATGAAACATAGAGAGTATAAAGTGCGAAAGAGTGGATAAGATAAGGGGAGAGAGAGGGTGTGAATGAGTGAGAACGAAAGTGAATGAATGGAGGATACCGACAGCAGCGACGACGGAAGAGGAAGAGAAAGAAAGAGGGCGAGAGTGACAGAAAGTATGTATGTGTGTATACGTGTATATGTATGTGTACGTGTACGTGTATGTATATGTGTGAATAGAAAACCCGCACTGAGGAAAGGAGAAAAAACGAGAGAGAAGTACGAGTTGTTGTGGAAGCGGACGAAACCGCGGGGAATTACGTCTGTTAGATGTGACTTAGGTAATTAAGGGGCGCGGGAGGAGCCCGCAGACATCTCTCTCTGCCGTCTCCTCTCTTTGCCGACTGTGCGTGCGCGCGCGTGACGAGCCGCGAGGGTGCCCGCAATGGTGTCCCTCGAAGAATTTCCCTCAGAAGCAAAAATTTCGATTTGCAAAGATAAATTTCTGAAGAAGGAAGAGGAAAGGTAGGAAGAGGAGGAAGAGGAGAAGGAGGAGGGGGAGGAGGAGGAAGAAGACCAGTAGTAGCCTCTACCTGTAAAGATAAATTTCTAAAGATTGATATGTCTGTCGTCTCGACGAAGGAAGATGTAACTCGGAGACGAAGAGTGGAGAGAACAATTCCTCTGCACAAACGAGGAATCTTTCTCTCTCTCTCTCTCTCTCTCTCTCTCTCCCCCTCCCTCCCTCTCTCTTTCTCCCTCTCCCTCTCTCCTACTCTCCACCCCTCCTCTCTCTCGTGTCGTATACGCGAAGACGGACACTTTTTCTTCCAGACAAGAATTCGTCGAGTTCCTCCATCAGTTTTTGGTCTCTAGTCCTCCTTCTTCCGCACAGCGGCACATAGTTATAACTCTACCCGGTTTTCAGGTAGAGAGAGAGAGAGAGAGAGAGAGAGAGAGAGAGAGAGAGAGAGAGAGAAGGGGGGAAAAAGAGGGAGAAAGAGAGAGAAAGAGAAGTGACTGCATGGCCCTCGCTCGTCTCGTATCTACATTATACAGTGTATGTACGCATGAACTGCTCACTGCCTGCGCTCGCTCATATGCTGGCTAGCGCGCTGCCCGCTGCTCGTACTCTCCGACGAGGTTCGCTCGTTTCGCGCCATCACTTCGTCTTCCCTTTCGGCGACGAGGAACAACAACGAGATAAGGTATTACCTTCCTCATTCTCCTTCAACGATTAACGACGGAACGAAATATCAGAGAGAAGCCTCGCGGAAACTGTTTTACACACAAGCGCAAGTATAGATTCGAGGACGCGAAGGAGGACGCGCAATGATGTAACAATCTCATCGAACAAGTTTCTCGCGCCGAAGACGGACGGCGGGACACACCGATGGGCGGTGGCGGTAAGAGTGAGAGGTACGATCGCTGGAAGATGAAGAAGAGACACAAGAGGCCGGCGATCGCGGAGAGTACGCTGCACGATTATAAAAAAAAAACTACTCTGTACAGGACGTCGGCCAAGTCGTATTGGTCTTGGAACGTAATGTTCGGACACGAGACGACAACGATAATGATGATGATGATGAGATGATGATACTGATAACGATGATTACGAAGAGACGATTATGTTGTCGCGCGACGTGTTATGATGCAGCCCGAACATCGCCGGACTCGCCGGCGCCGTGTTGCAACACACGCGCGCACCTATACACATACACGCACAGTAAACACACACATACACTCACACTATACACACCGGGCAGCATGTGTCATATACCTTGGTTGTGTCAGACCCACCTTGGTTGAAACACTGAGTTTATATGAAAGAAATATTAGTGTATGTGTATATGTGTGTATATATATGTGTGTGTATTTATACACATATATATATGTACGTATACACATACATATATATATATATATATACATTGAGTAAAGTATATATATACATACATATATATATATATATATGTATGTGTGTCTGTGTGTGTATGTATATATATATAAAGCCGTAATCAATAAGAAATATTAAATAATAATTATAATTACCGTAAATAATAACTATAATGATAAAATTAATAATAGTAATAATAATTAAATAATAACATATTAATAATAATTATTATTATCATAATAATGCTTGATTTTCAGTGAGAGAGCACGTGATTATAAAACGAGTGATGGCAGAGAGGGAAGGACAGATGGCGCATGTGCAGGACACGAAGTGCAAAACGATACTAGTGAGAGAAACTGATAGCGTAAATGACGAAGATCAGGTCAGAGAAATAGAGAGAGAGAGAGAGAGAGAGAGAGAGAGAGAGAGAGAGAGAGAGAGAGAGAGAGAGAGAGAGAGAGGGAGGGAGGGAGGGAGGGGAGAGGAAGAGAAATTGCGTGGTTGTGTATGCGTATGTGTATTTGTGCGTATGTATGCGTGTGTACGCGCGCGTGTCTGCTGTCTATGCGTATGTGTATTTTGGTGTATGCGTGTCACCGTGCATATTTATGCGTATTTGTGCAATTGCGTGCACTCACGTGTACGTGTGTGTGGGAGAAATGTGAACGAAAAGAAGGATTGGCGAGTGCAATAGAGGAGAGGAGAGGAGATAGGGAGAGAGAGAGAGAGAGAGAGAGAGAGAGAGAGAGAGAGAGAGAGTGCGGGAAATATGTGAGGGAGCGATTTCACTATGCGTGCAAGAAAAGGAAAGAAAAGGATTTAATCGATAAATAAATAAAAAAAAAGAGGAATAAAGATAAAACGCGATCAGTTGCGAGGCGTTGTAGGCTTTGTACAACCGTAGTCAAGAAATCGGCGAGAGTGCGAGACAACGTGCGAGAGAGTCTCCTCGAGCACCTTGAGAGGGCTGTTAGGTTCATTTGTAAATCATCTCTCTTTCGTCGAGCGGAGGCGATACACACCTACCACCTTCCGAAAAAAACATAATACGTTGGGTATTCTTTCTCTGTGTATAAAATTGTAAACATTTAAAACTCTAAAATGAATGTTTTTAACTTATTTATAATAAATAATATACCTTATTGATAAAAATAAACACAGTTTGTGACAGTAGCATCGACGAGAGCGTGACGAGCGAATTCATCCCCCCTCCCCCCCGGGGTGAGCGACGACCTTACACCCCCCCCCCACCCCCTTCACCATCCTCGGTCCCGCCGTGATTTCGATCGTCCGTAGTCCGTCCTTCGATCTGTACGCGCTTCGCGCGCGTATACCGTAGCAACGTTCATCCAAACAAAGCGCCTTTCTTCCGCTGCATTGTATCATTCTACCCGAGAAAGAATCACCCATATCGTACGTGTGACGTTTTGTGTTCACTACGCACGTTTCTGACGCGATATTGTAGCAACAATTAGTGAGAGATGCCTCTCGATGTATGCTGCCAATTTTTCGGCAACATTCCGCGCGGTAACAGGCATTTGTCGTTGTTACTGTAAACGTCCACCAGATGCCAGTCTTTTTTTCTATCTTTTTCTAGATGACAATTGTATTCGTCTCGTGTCTCCTGTTACAGGAACCTGTTACAGCTTGTCGGCGAGACACGCGAGAGCGAAATGTTTGTAAACGCGCTTTTAGTGTGCTCTGAAGCATCACCGACGTCGACGTCCGCCGCCGCCGCCGCCGCCGCCGCCGCGTACAACGGAGTATCCTCGAGGTATCGAGTTTCGCGTGTGCATCGCGTCGCACGGAAATCAAGTGTTACCGAGACACCAACCGCACAGACGCGCACCGGTAATGTCTGTCTTCAGCATGAAGCGACGTCCAACTGCCGCGTTACGACCGCATGTTCTTCACGTCCCGATTGTTCGTCACGTTTGCCGAAATGGCCGAACAGTGGCAATGCGATACTCGACGAGTGCAAGTCGTTCTCTTACTGCAGAGCCAATAGTGGCAAGAGCACATAGTGGCTACACTAGGAACGACTCAACGAGAACCTGCGGCATTGCGAAGACCTTGATTAGCCATAGGGCGATGAGAAAGCAAGCAAGGAGCCAAGTCGTTGGACGAAGAAGTGGAGCAAGTGAAAAGCGAATATCTGAAAGTGATCAAGCGAACGGAAGATGATACTGTTGGGGCGAGACTGCGCCACATCTGCTGCGAGGAGGAGTCGGGCTTAACTCACACCTTGCTCACGACGCTTCTCCGTTTAGATTACTGCCAGCAACGTCGCTTTGCAACGTCGAGCTGCGAACGTGAAGTGCTCTACGTTATCCATCCTGCGGAAGCAAGCGACTTGAATAGACTTCGACGGTACGCAAAAGTGAAGAAAATGCAAACGAGAACGGACAGGAAAGTAACCTGGATCTTCAGCGGAGCGAGTAGATACAAACTTCATGGGTTGCGCACAAAGGTTGCGCGCGCGCGCGAATGGTCTTTTGTCGTATATCGTATGCTTTTTCACACAAGAATTTGTCTCGGGTACACCCTCGCGATTCGCGAGCTCTTCTCGTGAGCGTTACTGCTCGATGATTGCATCGAGTTATTTTTTCGGCGTTTAGTAAAAAACAGACAGGTAATTGTACAAACGAGATCGCTGGTCGGATAATTAATAATCGCGGTCGCTGCTGCTGGTCGAAGAACGTTTTTATTCCGCCTTGTCCGCCGCATTGTACCGCGGCGCTCGCGCGTTTTGCTCGCCCGGGAAGTCACTCGCGATGACGATAAGAAAGCGTCCACATTCAGCAGTCACGTGTCGAAGGTGTCTCCCGGCGTGCTCTCGGCGGCGGACTCCGTTGTGTGTGCCTCCCATCACAACAGAGATTGTCAACAATGGTCGAGACACGCGGGGAACACTCGCGTTATTAGTGTCCTCTGTGCCGTCGCAGGATCGACGTCTGCGTTCGCGGGATCTCGTCGATTCCGCCGAATTTCGCGCGAAAGTGAGCTTCACATCGCTTCAGCATCCGCACCAAGGCGTGCGACGCAATGGCCACACGCTCCGAATACCAGAAGCGGCAGGTTTGTCACTACGACCGCATGTTCTTCCACCCGATGGTCTGTCACGTGTGCAAGTGGCTGAAGAGCGAGACGATGATCTCCTGCGACTGCAACATGATCAGCTACTGTTGCCGTCAGCACATGGCGATGAACCAGGAGGAGTCGAACGGGAACTTGGGCCACCGGCAGATCTGCCGAGTGATCCAGGAGCTCGTTCACGAGCGCCGTATGCGCACGTTCTACGGCAAGACGCTGATCGAATGGACCCGTCACAAGCGCCACTACGTGAACGCGGTGGAGAAGAAGCTGGCGCGTGAGTTGCAGCCGCACGAGAAGCAGATGTTGCTGTTCGCGAGAGCCTGCCATATCTGCTACATAGAGACCGACCTGACCGCCTGTCCAGGCTGCTTCTCCGTGGACTATTGCCCGGCGCACCGCAACTTCACGGAGCCGCACGAGTGCGCGAAGCTGAGGGAGTGGCTGCACTTTGAGATGCAGGCGCTCAATGTGAACCCCGTGCCGATCTGGAGGACGTTCCACGACTTCCCCGAGCGGATAAACGTGTACGACATGGACTCCTTTTACGAAGCGTACATGTTGCCCGCCAGAAACAAGACCTGGACCATCCTGGACATGGTCTACTCCGAGTACCTGTCGAGGCCGCTCACCATGTACTACAGCATGCAGGACGCGGAACTGCTGGATATCCCCAAGACCAAGAACACCTACGTTATTCACATAATTGAAGCGAGCGGCATAGACAAGGTGAACCTGCCGTCGTGGGAGATCTTCCTGCACGCCTTTCAGCAACCGATGAAGCTCATCGTCATAATGGTGGGCGTCGACTTGGCGTCCGATCTGGCGGGCAGATACGGCATAGTCCAGACCTGCTCGGAGAAATGCGCGACTATCGGCCATAAGCTTTACTTCAGGTATTATCGCATGCTGTACCACTTGTACGCCGGAAGCGAGCTGTACACCAAGCCGGATGTGATCGTGGGCTTCCAAGTGGCGTTCAACGACGGCGAGACGTTGGCGCAGTTCCTCACGTCGCTGAAGTCGCCGTTCTGCCCGGTCATCTTCACCAGCAGGTCGAAGGCTAACATGCGCAAGTTGACAAACAAGCTGCAGGCAATCCTGACTTTCCGCGTCAAGTCTGTTCTGAATACGCAGAACGGCTTCAGGTCTCACAGACCGTACCGAGACCACGTGACCGGTCGTGTCTTTTATCGCAACGAGTGCGTAATCATTTTTAAGCAGTTGGGCAACCTAAGCTCGAACGAAGATTGAGTTTGTGCGGAATGCGCGTCTCTCTCTCTGCGTTAGCTCTGCAGCGAATATTTTATCGCGAATAACTTGATTCAGGGGGGGGATTCGACGAGAGTTCTTTTCTACCTTGAACACTCTCTCCGGCGAAGAGGAGTGTGTTGAAGGTACGATCTTGCGGGTTTCCGTTGTAATGCGGACGACGCTGTCGCACACTTTGACCTACCTCCCCCTCCCCCCCTCCGCCATAGGCGATCAAGCCGCAACTAACGGCTTGGGACCATTCGACCTTGGGCCGTTCGTTCCAGCCGGGCAAGAAGAATCCCAACACTGCTCGCTCAAAAGTATCTTCGTTTTATTCGATTGTATCGTCTTGCTCGGTAACGGATTTTATTTATCATAATATTACGACAGAGATCGTCAACAGACCGTGCCTGAGACGGGGCACGGGGTGTGTTTGTAAACGCGTTATTTGTACTCTTTCAGCCGTTGACGTCTGACATTGTGTATACAAAACTTTGAATTTTAACTTTCGATCTCTCGTCGAGAGTTTGCCGAGTCTCGCGCGTCGTATTGCGCGAGCATCGTGCTCATACGTTAATATTTCAGACATGCTGGCGCCGTTCGAAGGTTTACGATTTAAGTATCTAAAGGCTGACCGATACAACAGTTTCTTCCACCCAAACTTTTGCCACGTGTGCAAGTTTTGGAGTAGCGAAGTCAACATGATCTCATGCTACAACTGCGACATGATTGCTTACTGCTGCGAGAGGCACATGATAGTGGACCAGAAGCAGCACGTCGATATCTGCAACGCCATAAAGAAACTGATTCGCGAAGGGAAGATGAGGAACTTCCACGAGGGCACGCGCGAAGAGTGGCTCAACTGCAAGAAGGAGTGTGTGCGAGTAGTCGAGCAGGAGCTAGCCCGCTCGCTGCTCTTCCACGAGGAACAGATGCTTCTGTTCGCCAAGTCGTGTCATGTTTGCTACAAGGAGACGAGCCTAAAGACCTGTCCGCTCTGCTTGTCCGTCAACTATTGCGAAGATCACAAGCAGAACGTTGGTCCGCACAAATGCGCGGCGCTGCAGACGTGGCTCGCCACCGAAATTCAAGCTGTCAAAGTAAGTCCCAACCCACCGAGACAGTTCAAATTCATCAATTTTCCCAACGCAAATTACCCTATTGCCACTATGAATTCCTTTTACGACAGATATATACGTTGTAGCAGAAGTCTGAAAACTTGGACTTTTCCCGATTTCATCCATTCCGACTATCTGTCGGGGCCGCTAACACTGTATGATTGTACAAGGGATCCAAATGTATTACAAATACCAAACACAGAATATACTTATATTATTCATATTATAGCTACGAGTCACTTTGACAGATTATACTTGCGGTCGTGGGAAATATTTTTACATGTCTTTATTAAACCGACGAAACTCGTCGTCATAATGGTAGGACCGAATCTACAGGAGGAATGCGAAGCACCCGACATTTGTAAATTGAAATGCAAAAATTTCGGCCACACGTTTCATTTTTTATCCCATCGTATGTTGTACCATGATTATGTGAACAGTTCATTGTACAGGAAACCGGACGTGATCATACGATTTCACGTGGAGCTCGCCGACGGGGAGACATGGGCGCAATTTCTAGCAGCATTAGAGGTATCAAGTTGCCCGTTAGTGATAACAGCTGAATCGAACATTAAAGCACAAGAGTACAGAAGTAAAATAGGCGATTTCAGCAAACAAGCAATGCCTATTATTGATCAAGTAAATAATTTCAGTGGTCGTAGGTTATACAGAGACTATAGGACTAATAATTTCTTTTATCGTAACTACTATTTAATTGTTTATAAAGATTTACATCACACAAGTCGATCAGACGACGATAGCACAGGTTCTAATGTATGATTGTATCTAACTTTTTAGGCTTCCGTAATTTTCGTATGATTGTCACTATTTTTATAGCCATTATTTTTATAGCGTTGTTGTGAATATAATAGACAAGTATGTGTTATTTAAATATATAATGTTCTAATAAACAATTATATGATAATATATTATTTATTATTGTCATATGTAATACAAGGCGAATATTATATTATAATTATACCTGTCGTATTAATTAAGTATTATATCGAATATTATCAGAATTACGGTACCGTTATAATCACATGTTAGATGTATTATGTATTTTTTTTTATAAAGCATATCTTAGAAAGCCATACGAAGGTCTTGTATTATTTTCTCCTGAGGGAAAGATGTTTCGTCATTGTTGTGTAATCTTGTTACCTCACACCTCCCGCGAGAAGTCGAAAAAGAATTCATCTAAATTTTCACCTAATCTTTTACGCGAAGCTAGTATAGAACAGAATCAAAATCATAAACGCTGTGATTTTACCCGCAGCAAAATTGGACGTGTATTTAAAGCACAAACTTTTATAGCATAACTAGACTGCTAACTCCGACTCAATACATGAGCCCGAAAAGTATGTACAATCCTGGTGCCCGACATTCACGTCTGATATTTATATTTATATTTATATTTATTTATCAGTAAAATAAATATCGTTCTCAGCTCGACTAATTTTCTAAACAGGACCGGCGGGTCCTGAGAGTATTTAATAATCGAAACGATCAAAATAGACGGTAATATATCTTGAGCAATTTGATGAGTGAGCCGGTTCTATTCGCGAAACGTTCCAATTTTATGTGCCCGTCGCTCTTTCGTGACGTCTATTATTATTAATGCCCTCGTTATTATAAATAGCTCATGGATGCGATTGCGCGACGTGTCAATCTGTCTGTTTGTTAACGTTATCATTATCACCGGAGCGCGTATCGATTGTCAGTTCTGCGAAGGTCTACCTTCGATCACGCGGCTAAAATCATTCGCGCAGCCGTTTTCGTATACTTCGTATACGATCATTAGCGAGCGAGCGAGTGAACGAGTCGAGATCCAGGATCTCGGCAACGCCGGGATCGAAAGGCACGGGTGTCCATCGTGGCACCGAGGACGACGCCGCGGCTGTTGCGGGTCATCGTCGCCGGAGACGTCGTCCTGGTAAATTGGAACGGAAATTTGCCAGTGGAACGGACGAGGCGAAGGAAAGGCAGGAGGGAAAATGGATGGATGGGCTGTGACGCGCGCGATTGTCGCACAGTTACACCGCTGGCAGGGTGCGGAAAGAACAGGCGTGCGCTCTCGCTCTCGCGCTTGATCGTACGGGGTAACGAAGTAGAGAGCACTCTCCTCGTCGGTTTTCCAAACGGAAAACAGGAAGTGCAGACGGCAATTCGCCACGCGACGCGATGCCGAAGTGCTTTCTCGACCTCGTCCTTCGGTGTATCGAGCGGCCTGCCGGGCATCTCGACATGTAAATGGAAGGACGACGATCGTGTTTGTTAAAAGAGAGAGAGAGAGAGAGAGAGAGAGAGAGAGAGAGAGAGAGAGAGAGAGAGAGAGAGAGAGAGAGAGAGAGAGAGAGAGAGAGAGATCTCGATCACGGAGAACGCAAAGTTCTTCCCCTCGCGGAGCTGGGACCTCATCTCAAAGTTGAGATATCGGAAGAACTTCTTTCGTTTTTACTCGTCCTCGCGCGTAAAGTCCACCGCTTCCGATAACTCGAGCGCAACTATTGAGCTGACACCATGTGCGAGGAATTAGGGACTTCTCTGAAGCTAACAGCAAGACCAAATCGGTAAAATCAAACCGCATTATTTAGTGGATAATTTTGTAATAATTTAAATCACTAATCGAAATTTTGTACACCGTGCCGTGCCGAAGAAAACTGTGGCGCTGCTTTATCTGAAGATACGTGTGGTAAAATATACATTAAGATCTGTAATTACATATTTTATATTCGCTGGATTTCTTTAGAAATTACCCTCCGATCTCCATCGCATATGTTTGCTCAAAAGTAAACATATACTTCCTCTAACATACCACTTCCTCTCAGCGGACCCAATCCCGACTTTTGCAGTGAATGCGAGATAACTTATACAGGATGTCTTAAAAATACCGGAACCCCCCGGGCGCGTACAAGAAAAGGAAATAAATTATAGCTTATTATTTTATGTTATGAACTTGTTAACCTGATATATCCCCGCTATTTTATTTTATAGCTTATTATTTTATGTTATAAAATTGTTAACCTGATATAACCCCGTTATTACTCCTTTCGTACAAACTGTCACTTGGCTGTCATTTGCCGCAATGACAGCCGCAAACGGCACGAAGCCGGCTGCAATGCAACGTCGTCGTGACGACCAATCAGCGTCGCGGAAAAGAGGCTGCAATACTTCGAGAGATTCGAGAGATCTCGACTTTCGATTGGCACGCACTTTTTTGAAGAGAATTATTGTTTATAAGGGCTGGGGTAACCATTCATTTAATAAATAACAATCAGGATATTTGTTTTTTAGGAGGATTAAATGAGTTTATTCCTTTTACTATAATATCTCATTTAACTTTATTTTCATTATATGGTTTTCCTTTTATGTCAGGATTCTATTCAAAAGATTTAATCATAGAAGTAATTTAGACACTAGCGACTGTCGCCATCTTAGTCTCTCATATCCGTTATAATAGACATTTCTTTCCCCTCACTTTTCATGGACCACCCCCGCAGCTCTATGCTCCGTCGATATATTCTTACGTCCATGGTGCGGAAAGTCGGTGTCGTAGAGAATGCCGTGTCAGGCCGCTCTCTGTAGATATTTAGTCTCTGTAGATATTTAATCGTGAATCAAACCACAAGTTTTCTGCGCACTGTAAAGTTTATCCGAGATTCAAACCACTATTTATCGGCCTCCTTAATTTTGCCAATTAGAGACTTTTGGCAAGCTTTGGGCAGAAAGTTTGGAAAATTTGTAAATTTTTAAGTATTTGGGTATTAGGAACGTAAAACATAAACATACACGCACGCATACATGTAATACAAATTACGTGATATAAAAAAAAAAATATATATATATATATAAATTAACATTTAATAAAAAGGAATTAATACATATAAATAAATTGGTGAAAGGAATTATATGTAGGCTTAAACAATAACGAAAATTTCCTAGTTTTGGACGATGAACTTTGGATAAATCATGCAATTGTATTATTTCTACGACGGAGGGAATTGTTTCCCGAGGAAAATTAGCTAAAACATAAAACCGGGGTTAATCGTTAATTTACAATTTGTATATTTTTATAAAAAATTTATAAAGTTATAAAAAGTTACTAATGATATCGTCATGAAACGGAAAATCAATTTGTCTGGAGCACTTTTACTGAAGGGAGAAATCGAAGATAGCGTTATTTTACATAATTTGACAAATATTATTATCAAATTGGTTATTTATTTTATTTTTATTCCGTCAAATTTCTCGCGAAATAGGCCACAGGAATCTCTATCGCGTTTATAGACTAGCCGTACCTGACGAGCAAAGGGGCGGCAGCGGTTTCAGGAGGGCAGCTGCGTGCACAGTATGCATGTACCGAGAGGGGTGAGTTCTCCCTCACCTGGACGCCGTGCGTTTAGTATAAGAGAGAGGGGAATGAAACACCACGTAGAGGGTGAAATATGGCAAAGGGAAAAAGGCAGTGAGGAAAAAGGCTTCTCTCACGAAAGTGAGAAAAGAAGTTCGTACGAAGTCCGATAGTTTGACAAAGAAAGAAAAAAGGGGAAAGTGGGGAGTGAATGAGAGAGGGAAGAAAAAAGGGATCGAGAAGGAGCGGAGAAAAAGAGCGAAATGGTGGATTGTGCGAATGAGAGAGAAATAATTTGCGGGAGAGAAAGAGACTAAGAGGGTGAGGGAGAGGGGGAAAGAGAGAGAGGGAGAGAGAGGGAGAGAGAGGGAGAGAGAGGGAGAGAGAGGGAGAGAGAGAGAGAGAGAGAGAGAGAGAGAGAGAGAGAGAGAGAGAGAGAGAGAGAGAGAATATAGATTACACGCGAGCGTGAAAAGAGTGGTTCAAGGTGAAAGAGCGAACGGTGCGACTGTGCGCGAACGCAGGAAGGATAAAGCGAGACAGGTGAGCACCGCGAGAGAGAAAGAGACAGAGGTAAAGCACGCGCACGCTTATAAAAGTAGTACAGACAGGGGGGCACGAAGGGAAAGGAAGGAAGAAAGGGAAGGGTGCGCTCGTGCGAGGATGGTGAGGGGAGCATACGAATAGGGATGGGGAAGTGGTGTGTGAGGAAGAAGGAGAAGGCAGACGGAGGGGTGGGAGCAAGCGACGCGCGCGTAGAGTCGCGACGCGCGTACTCTCGCGACTATAGTCCTGCGGAAGATCATCGGGAGGACTACACCCCTGCCGCAGTGGCGAGGAACAACCCGTAGCGGGTCCGCACTTCATTGGGTCGCGCGCGTTACTCCGGGAGGACAGCGACAGGATGAGTCTTTTGCTGGATGAGGAGGAGATCGACGAGTGAGTACTTTATCGTCCCGATGAAAGGAGGAGGAGAGTGAGTGAGTGAGTGAGTGAGCAAGCAGAGAGAAAGAGAGAGAGAGAGAGAGAGAGAGAGAGAGAGGAGAGGGAGGGAGAGGAAGTCGAAATAACGTGCCGTTCGCGATGTCGTTCCTCGGCTCGCTCTTTCGCGCACACGTTCGCTTGCTGAGGGCGCACGAAAAAGGGCTGGGCTGGTCGCCCTTCGCGAGTCGATCGCGCAGCCCTTCGCGAGTGCTTTGGAACTTGCGCTGAGAGGGTCCGAGTGAATCTTTTATTCGGAGCGTCTTCTCGCGCGATCCGTGGATGATACAGAAAATGACGCGCTCGAGAATGATCTTCTCCTCTTTTTTCTCGCCCTTGTACGCGTCAATGAGAACATCGGAGAGTTGGTAGAAATGGCTCCGCATCCTCCGGCCGACCCTTCGACCACGCAGTCGGAGAGGGCTTTATCGAGCTTCGCGCGCGCATATTTGTGACTTGTGAAACGCTGCTCTCTCACTCCTTACCCCCCTCTCGGCTACGTCGCGATGCATGCCACCTCGACAGATGATATTGATGTGCAATGTAAATACGTGAAGCTACACGGTGATCGAAACGAAAGCTCCTCGCCGAGACG